AACTATACATTCTCCTCAAAACTACTATTCAAAACACAGTTTTTACCAAATAATGGTTGTCAAACAAGGGCTAAATCACTTACAACATGTATTCTACACTCTAGATGCAGCAGAAACTAGAAATTAAGAAAGGATGAATTGACTAGTTTAACATCCACGAATTTTCTCAACTTAGAGAGAAATTTTAAGAAAAGACAATGGCGTAGAGCTGTAGGAAAATGCGCCAAATGAAAGGAATGTATGACCCAAGGAAAAAAAAATAAAAGAAGAAGAAGAAGATCAATCCTAAATTATTCATAGCTAAAGCTTAACAGATAAGATTAATATATTAGTCGAATCAGACCTCAACATATCAAATAATTTCACAGCAGCACGATTGTCCAAAAAGCCTCACGTAAAACAGAAATACAAGAGTTCATCGTTTCCTTAATGGTTGTCAACAAAAACATTAAACGAAGATAAAGAAATGATGTTTCTCCTTAGAAGTACCAAAATTCACTATCAATGGTTTTGGAAGACTGCTTGTCAACATTGTTTCCACTATTGAGGGAACTGTACTTTAACCTTAAAAGTACTTTCTAATGTCGTTCGATCCGGAATGATTTAATTGCAAGAAAATAACATACAATTGAGCAGCGTAACAGAAATAAAATAGCACCTTTCAACCCAGTTTATGCATACAAATGATGTTTACGGCGATCCTTCTCCCTTGATGAGTAAGACGAGCTGTGGTATTCTCGATTTAGTAATACATGACAAATTGCTTATTTAATAAGTAAATTTCGAGAAAAAATTATCAAATAAATAATGAGATATTTAAAAATTTACCTCGAGAAGAATGATGTTTTGATTTCTTGACACGTCCTGCATAAGGTGATCAGAAAAGCAATTCAATATGGTATAAACAAAGATGTGCAATCAAAACGTACAATCAAGAAGAGTTATATCATGAAGAGTCCACGAACTGACCAGAGTCTTTTCCTTTGTCCCTCGAAGGGTGGCCTCTTTCCTTGATTTTATCTCTGTCCCTTTCGCTATCCTCGCGTCTTCGTTCCCTATCAGATTCTCTCCCTCTATCATGAACTCTGCTCTTTGTTCTTTCTCTCTCCCTATCCCTGTCCCTGTCTTTGTCTTTGTCCCTTTCCTTGTTGCTTTCACCACCAGCCTCTGTTCGATGATCAGACATCAATTTAGACTCTGGATCTTCTCTCGACTCTTCACCAGTGGGCATGCTTTTAGAGTCATCGGCACTCTTCAACTCCTCCATTTTGTCAAGTGCAGCTTTTACTAGTACATCCTTACCCACTTCCTGATTTGCAGCTGAAGAGGACCCTTCTGCAGTACTACTATCTTCATTTACAGCAGGTCCAGTCAAGGAACCATCCTAAACAAAAACAAAGGGCAAAAAGATATAAAACTTACCCAGATATTCCCGTCAAAAGCAAGTCAATTATTCCAGATTTCTTTAAAATACACTAATGAAGTAAAATGATGAATTATTCCTTATCGTCTACTCAATGTGTTGTCCTGGTAATTCGATTGGCAGTTGGCTATACAATAGAAGCATAAAGCAAACAGGAATAACAAATTGGGGCTACATATCAAACTGAACCAATTTAATTAAAGCATATGTTTACCTTGGTAACAGACTCATGTGGTGAATCCCATGATCGATTAGATGTTGCAAATGAACCCCGTTCCTTGCATACAGGTATATACTGTGCCTTTGGAAGGGTATATAGGTGGGCCAGAACTCATGTGGTGAATCCCATGATCGATTAGATGTTGCAAATAAACCCCGTTCCTTGCATACAGGTATATACTGTGCCTTTGGAAGGGTATATAGGTGGGCCAGAACTCTACAAACCTCATCTATACCAGACTTATCAGCATCAAATGCTTTCCACCATGGAGGATTCTCTGGCAATGGCGCTTGAAATCTACGGGCTGCAGCATATACAACACCACAGGCCACAACTTCACTCCTGAATCTAACACACAAAGTTGTGCGCAAGCTGTTCATAAGAAATATTTATAAGGATCATTAGAACTTGTTAGAAGACTTTGAGGACAAGAGCAGTGCTCACAAGTGCACGAGAAAGAAATACCAACCAAATATACCAGATCATCGAACTGATAGAAGGAAAGCAGGAGACCCATGGTCAAGCTAATGTACATTCAATTTGATGCTACTAATCTTCATGCTAGGTTAGCTTCTTAAACTAAATAGATGGTGAAGATCCTTAAGCT